TACAAGAAGAGACTAGTAGATCCAGAAACCTCTTACATTCTCCTCTATTCTCTGGTAAGAAAATTTCCACCTTGATCATTATGCATGTAGATCTCTCTTTTTTTCATTTTGGGGGGTTTTTAGTCCAAGAACCCTAGCATGAGAGGAATGGACGTCCCAAGAGCTTGTGTTTTCAGATCTAGCACTATTAAGGGACGTTATGGCATAAAGGTGCAAGCTTTATGCCATAGGAATCCCCATGCAAGCATGTGAAGTGTTCTTTTGGCCTTTTTAGCTCAAAATGCCATGAATGGAGGAAAAAGGTGGTAGCTTTACATGGTTAGGAGATGGTTGGGTCCAGATCTATATGTTGGATGCTTCGAGGTCCTCAGAAATCGCCTGAATAGATTAAGACATAGAGGGACTCCGCGAGTCACTAGCGGGACTCAATGAGTCAGACCGTTTTCTTGCCCCAAAACCCTTCTGTTAAAGGGTATGAGTTGAGTGGTTAGGGACTCAGCCAGTTCGGGTCTATAGTTGGTATGAAGATCATCGAACTCGACGAGTTCGATGAGGAACTCGGCGAGTCCAAAGCAATCTCCTTAGTTTATGAAGGTGGACTTGGCGAGTTCAAAGGAGAACTCGGCAAGTCAGATGAAGGAGGGTCCCGATGTGTTGAAGGTGCACTTGACGAGTTCGAGGAGAACTCGACGAGTAGGAGCGAAGTTCAGAGTTTGTGAGGAATGTGGGACTCGACGAGTTGATAGGCCAACTCGGCGAGTTGAAGTCAACTTGGAGCGTTGACTTTTACCAAGTTGACCTGGGTTGACTTTTGGGAATAATGTCGTCTAAATGTTATTTTGGATATTGATAGTTCGGGAAGCCGAAGGGTCAGCGGTTCAGAAATTGTCGGCTAGCAGTCAGAAGTGTTTAGTGAGTTTTCAGCAGTGCGAGGTGAGTTTCCTTCTAGTAGGAGCGGGTCTACGGCCACAATGCCGACCCGTTTAGATGATAGTAGTTCCGGACTTGGGTCTGATGCCAGGGTAGTCCCGAGAAGTAGTTTGTATGCTTGATGTCTTTGTGATTCATGCATGTATATGTGTTTATGTTATGTTCAGTTTATTCCGGATTTCGGTCCGATGCAGTGGGTGAGGCCCTAGTTAGTCCGGACTTCGGTCCGATGCAGCAGGCAAGGCCCTAGTATTCCGGACTTCGCTCTGATGCAGTGGGCAAGGCCCTAGGTAGTCCGGACTTCGGTCCGATGCAGTGGGCAAAGCCCAGTATTCGCTTTGTATATTATTTTATGGTATGTGGTATTTTGGGGGAACTCATTAAGCTTCGTGCTTACAGTTTTCAGTTTTGGGTTTCAGGTACTCAGTTTTCAAAAGAGGAGCTCAGGAAGATTGTAGTGCACACACCATCTGTTTAGCCTGGGATGTTTATACTCTGATATTTTGACAATTGTTACGATATTTTGAGATACACTGTTTATGATTTTTATATGATGTTCGATGATTGGTTTTATTATTAAATTAAAACGAAGTTTTTAGATTGTATTTGTGGGATGTTACACTAAAATAGATCATTGAGTTGGATTAATCTAAGAAGTTAGAAGATATGGAGGGTTGGATTAGTGTAAGGTATTTTTTCATGTATATATTTTCCACTAAAATGCTTTTATGTTTTAACAAAATTTTAAAGTCATATTTTTATTATTCTTTAAATGAATGTATCCAAAAAATAAGTTAATCTATATTTTGATGCAGAACCCCTGCGATGGAGATTATCATGGATGAACTTAATTATGATAAAAATAATTTCTTCCCTTTCTTTTAGGTATCTATTAAAATGATAAGGCTCTATTTCTTTTCATTATTTAACAATTTTATTTTGTGGGTCATATTTATTGTTTAATTTTTTATTAGGCGTTGGATAAACCTAACCTAAAGTTGGATATGATTGTTCAATATTTCCAAAAGTACATTCCCAAGGTAATTGAGCATATTCTAATAATGTATTAAATATATTGAAGTTTAATCATATTATTTGTTTCAGATAGTGTTATAATTTGATTTTTAAATCTGTTCGCACTAAGAGGCATAATGATTCTACAAATAATTCAACGTTAAAGGTGATATATTGAAGTTTAATCATATTATTTGGTGGATTTTGAAGTGTTTTTCAAATGGGAACAATACAAAAAGTATTATAAAGAAAATTAATATATAAGTAGCTCAATTGTTTTTAACACATTCTTTTCAGGTAAAATTTGTGGCATTTTTTATAACAATTCAAGATGATTTTTCAAAGTATTACTCTAAAGTCAAATGACCTAAAAAATGAGGGTATATTTCATATCAGGTTGCATTTCTTCAATTCCATGTAACCCCAATTTAGTCAACTAGAGTTTATGATCTGAAAGTCATCATAACGATAGTTTTATGTGCTTTCATCTTCGGTTTGTTCTTATAGGCATAATTCATTTATGTTAATTGTTATATTATTTATTTTCTAGGCTATGCCTTATTTAAATGTATTTTGAATTGTTTTTGTTTGTTTTGGACATGGAAATGCTACTATTGATTCTAGAGTATGAGATAACACGATTTATTCAACGTATCATGAAATTCAGGGAAGAAGTTTGTAACACCCCAAAGTTTGGAAAGCCAAGAAAAGAAAGAAAACATCAAGTTTAAGGGGAGACTCGGCGAATCCATGGAGGGACTCGACGAGTCCGAGCGGGATCCGGGTTGAGGTGTAAGCGACTAACTCGGCGAGTCGGCCAAGGAGACTCGACGAGTTGGGTCTGAGCGAGGAAAAACCCTAAATCCGGGATTTGGAGCCTATTTAAGCGTCTCATTCTCTTTCCTAGGGTTCCTTTACTGCCTCTCTACCCCAGAACACCAAAACCTAGCCGCCATATCTGTTTTTGACCTAGATCTTGCCTTGTAGAGTGCACTAAAGCTTGGAGAAGGAAGAAAAGCCTAGGAGGTGCAAGAAGGGACTGTAGATCCGAGATTGAGAAGACATTTCAGACCAGTTGGAGGTAATAAGCTGTTGCTTGGACTCCCTTTGCACCTAGATCTATTCTTATATGTGAGTTTTGGTCATTGTTGGTATGATATGTAACCAATCCGAGTTGGAGGTTCAGATCTGAGGTTGCTACCTCAGATCCATGTTTGTTTTGGTCTTGAATCCCCTAAAGTATCAGCCCTTGGTATGTTGAAGAAGTATGTTTGCCATAAACCCTAGTTTAGGGTGTTTTGAGCCTAGATCTCTTAATCTACACGTAAAGTTTGCCACTTTACGTGGGGGATAGTCCCTAGAAGTATGGATCTATGAGTTGGAAACTCTGTTTGGCTCGAAAAGTCATTGCATGGATTGAAGACTGGATAGACTCGGCGAGTCCTTCGAGTGGACTCGGCGAGTAGCTTGAAGATGAGGAGGAACTCGACGAGTAGGATGAACAACTCGTCGAGTCGGATGAAGTTAGGCATGGACTCGGCGAGCTGGATGAGCAACTCGACGAGTTGGTTGAAGATTGTCTAGGACTCGGCGAGTCTGTTCTTGGACTCGGCGAGTCAGATCGCGAAACCCTAAACCCTTCGAGTTGGGGCTCGAATCAGTGAGTCGGGTGGTGACTCAGCGAGTTGGACAGGACAGGACTTGGAACTAGTTGGACTCGGCGAGTCATAGACTGACTCGGCGAGTCGAGTCACGAATAAGAAAGACCCAGAGCATATGAACTCGGCGAGTCAGTAGGTAGACTCGGCGAGTAGGGTTGACCCGGAAGGTTGACTTTGACCAGGATTTTGACCTTGACCAGAATTGACCTAGTGACCTTTGGAGGTCAGTTGGACTAAGTGTTATATTGATATTGGTAGCTCGAGGAGCTAGTGGAGCAGCAGTCGAAGTCAGAGGTCAGGTAGCAGTCAAAAGGATTAGCAGCAGTAGTTCAGCAGCATCAGGTGAGTTTCCTTCCAGTAGGGACGGGTCTAAGGCCACAATGCCGGCCCGTTCAGTTAGCAGTAGTTTCCGGAATTCGATCCGATGCAGTAGTTAGTATGTTTGATGCCTTCGTGGCTCAGACAGGATTTATGTGTTATGTGTTCCGGGCTACGGCTCGATGTAGTATGCAATATATGTGTTCATGCTAGTTGATATGTATGTTATGCTATGTTCAGTCATTTCCGGACTTCGGTCCGATGTAGGGGGCAAGACCCCAGTTAGTCCGGACTTCGGTCCGATGCAGGGGACAAGGTCCCAGTCAGTTTCCGGACTTCGGTCCGATGTAGGGGCAAGGCCCCAGTTAGTCCGGACTTTGGTTCGATGCAGGGGACAAGGTCCCAGTCAGTTAGTCCGGACTTCGGTCCGATGCAGGGGACAAGGTCCCAGTCAGTTTTCGGACTTCGGTCCGATGTTGGGGGCAAGACCCCAGTTAGTCCGGACATCGGTCCGATGCAGTGGGCAAGGCCCAGTATGTGCTTTATATGTTATTGCATGGTATGTGTTAGATTGGGGGAGCTCACTAAGCTTCGTGCTTACGGTTTTCAGTTTTGGTTTCAGGTACTCAGTTTTCAAAAGAGGAGCTCGGGAAGATTGCAGTGCACACACCATAGTCAGTTAGCCTGGGAATATTTAACTCTGATAATGATATTATGTTTTGAATTAATACTCGAGAATTTATGTTATGACTTATGATACAGTTTATTATAAATATGATTTTAGTAATGTTTTTAAAGAAATTTTTGGGTTGTATTTTTGGGTCGTTTCAAAGTTCATCTATAATTAAATTTAATTTTTTTTTTTTACTTTTCTTTGTTACTTTATGTTTAGCATGTATTTGACTCCACATTTAGACGCATTTAACATTTACTTAGATATTTGATTCAAAAAGTATAAAACTATTGATAAAAAACAATGGAAATTTTATTATTTTTTATGTGCTACAATTTAATTATTCTATATTTTATATTATAGATAAAAATTATGTAGATATAAGTAACATAAATTATAGAATCTCTTGAGTATTTATAGGTGTAAAATGTGCCACAAAATAGTTTTTGTATTATGGCAAATAATGAGGTGTCATTACAGTCTTAAAATATGTAACTAAAAGTAGCATAAAATTTTAAATCGAATGAACATTCAATGGCACAAAATATGTGCCACAAAAAACCTTTTTTTATTATGACAAATAAAAAGTGTCATAATAAAAGAAAAGTAGCTCAATTGCTTATAACACATTCTTTTCGGGTAAAATTTGTGGCATTCTTGATAGCAATTCAAGATGATTTTTCAAAGTATTACTCTAAAGTCAAATGACCTAAAAAATGAGGGTATATTTCATATCAGGTAGCATTTCTACAATTCCATGTAACTCTAATTTAGTCAACTAGAGTTTATGATCTGAAAGTCATCATAACGATATTTTTATGTGCTTTCATCTTCGGTTTGTTCTTCTATTATTTATTTTCTAGACTATGCCTTATTTAATTGTATTTTAAATTGTTTTTGTTTGTTTTGGACATGGAAATGCTAGTATTGATTCTAGAGTATGGGATAACACGATTTATTCAACGTATCATGAAATTTACGGAAGAAGTTCATCTATAATTAAATTTAATTTTTTTTTACTTTTCTTTGTTACTTTATGTTTAGCATGTATTTGACTCCACATTTAGATGTATTTGACATTTACTTAGATATTTGATTCAAAAAGTTTAAAACTATTGATAAAAAACAATGGAAATTTTATTATTTTTTATGTGCTACAAATTAATTATTCTATATTTTATATTATAGATAAAAATTATGTAGATAAAAGTAACCTAAATTATAGAATCTCTTGAGTATTTATAGGTGTAAAATGTGTCACCAAATAGTTTTTGTATTACGACAAATAATTAAGTGTCACTAAATTCTTAAAATATGTAACTAAAAGTAGCATAAATTTTTAAATCGAATGAACACTCAATGGCACAAAATATGTGCCACAAAAAACTTTTCTTTTATTATGACAAATAAAAAGTGTCACTAAAAGCTCAAAAAACTGCAGCGGCAAAAGCTAAAAATGTCACTAAAGGATTTTAGTGGGAGCGTTTCTAGCGGCACTTATTACATATGTCGCGGATTCTCTGAGAAGCCTTTAGTGATATTTTTTTGGGTTTTTAGTGACACTTTTTGTGTGCCACTAAATGACATATTTTTTTTACTGTGTTACATGAACATATAAAAGTTATAGAAATTTATGAAAGATTGATGAAATCAGTGAACATATAACAGTTAGAGATATTTATGTTTTTGATTTTCTGAGTTGATGAACTAGAATTCATGAAAGATTGATTAGAATTTTATGAAATTGGTGAAATCAGTTAGAAAGCTAAATAAAATTGGTGAATTTAACAGTTAGAGATATTTATGTTTCTGATTTTCTGAGTTGATGAACTAGAATTCATGAAAGATTGATTAGAATTTTATGAAATTGGTGAAATCAGTTAGAAAGCTAAATAAAATTGGTGAAATTAGTGAAATTGCATGTAACACACACACACACACACACACACACACACACATATATATATATATATATATATATATGATTTACAGTCTCTTATTTCTATGAATTGGTGTTACTTTGGTTTGATGTTATGTTGATAATTATGTTGTTTAAATGTGATACTATGTAATTCATAGATAATGGACGAAAACCACACTAATGTTGTTGATTGTGAAACATCTTTAAAAAGGAAAAAACAAAAATTCTTATGGGATAACCGTAGCTTCATGGTGTTTGTCCTCGTGCTGGATTGAACTAAGAGAAGGCCATAGACCTCGTACTCACTTTGATAAGGTTGGGTGGGAGAATTTAAAAAAACACATGAAGGACAAAACAAGTTACTGCCTTGAAAAAGACAACTAACAAACAAATGGGAGAACATGAAAAAATAGTGGAAGCTTTATGATTGCCTAATGAGGCTTGAAACCGGATTCAGTGGGACGAGAAGCCTAATAGATGCATCGCCTAAGTGGTGGGAGGAGAAAATAAAGGTATAATTTACGATTCTTTTTAATTATTTAAAGTTATGATATGATTGGATATACATTGGGCATATTTGATTTACATTAACTTTTTGTCTTGCAGGAGAATAAAGAATATGCTAAATTTCGGAACATGGATTTGAGCATATTTAATAAGAAATATGCTCTTTTGTTTCGGGATTCCGTTGCTATTGGAGATCAGACTATGAATCCGTTACAATTTCAAAACAATACCACTCTGAATGAAGAAAATATCGAGGGCAAAGGAGATAGTGATGAAATCAATTTAGATGATGATGAGCCTCTTTTCCTAGTTTCCATGAAAGTAGTTCAAGTAAAAGGAAGAGGTCTAAACTTGTTTCCAACAACCGTTTAACCAAGAGTAAAGGTTTAATTTATGAGGAAAAAGTAGATGCTTTATTGGATGCCATATCAACAAAAAGCATACAAACTTATCCACAAAATAATCCTTCCCTGACAATAGTTAATTACATGGCCATTATCATCAAGTTTCTCGATTTTCGTGAAGAGTCCAAAGAGTTTTCACAAGCATTGCTTGTCTTCACCCAAAAGCAAAATCATGAAGCTTTTATGTTTCCAACGACTGATGAAGCCAAGATGGAGTTCCTTAAGTTACTTATGAAATAATGATTTGACATTTGACATCATGTCTTATTGTTTTATGTGTTATGCTTTGACATTATGTGTTATGCCTTGATAATATGTGTTATGCTTTGACAATATGTGTTGTCCTTTGACATTATGTGTTCGACATTTTATATTATGTGTTATTTCTTATCGTTATGTAATCGACATTTTATATTATGTGTTATTGCTTGACATCTTTTTATTTGTATTATGTAGGATGTATAGTGATGAATTTAACTGATGTAATGATAATGAAGAATGTTGGGAGGAAGAGTACAAAGAATTTGAAATGTTATGTGGATTAGCTTTGAAAGGGATAATGCTCGCTCATAACATATGTAGGCCATGTCACACTTTAGACTGCACAGGGCACATGTTTATTAATGAAGTACTGAATGACCATCCTAGACGGTGTTATGAGATGTTAATTAGAGTGAACGTACTAGTTTTTAAACAGTTATGCATAGATCTTGCTACAAGTTATGGACTGCAACAAACATGAAATTAATATATCTATTGAGGAGTCTGTAGGAATTTTCTTGATGACTTTCCCTCATGGGTGTAGCACTAGATTTGTGCAAGAATTTATTAATCATTCGGGGGAAAACAATTCATAGGAATTTCCACACAGTTTTGGAAGTCATGCTATAGTTGAGTGCCGACATCATCAAGCCAGATCCAAACTATAATGATGATGTTCCCGAATATATATTAAATAACCCTCGGTATCATCCATTGTTCAAGGTATTATTTAGTGTTCAGTTACTTGGTAGTCAAACTTTAACAAATGGTTTATTTATGATATGTTTTTTGTATTTGAAGGATTGCATTGGTGTTATAGATGGGACACACGTTAGGGCATCAGTTCCACAAAAAGAGGAAGCAAAGTACATTGGTCGAAAGGGATATGCAACACAAAATATAATGGTTGTTTGTGATTTTAACATGTGTTTCACATTTATATGCGCCGATTGGGAGGGGATTGCACATGACACAAAAAATTTCAATGAAGCCTTACAGAGACCAGATCTTCATTTTCCATATCCAACGGGTGGTTAGTATAATTTTTTTGGAACACAAGTTTTATGTTTCTACTACTTGTTTGAAACGAATAACAAATGTTTGTTTTATTTACAGATAAATATTACATTGTTGATGCCAAATATCCAAATACCAGAAGGTATCTTGCTCCATAAAACGGGTGGTTAGTATAATTTTTTTGGAACACAAGTTTTATGTTTCTACTACTTGTTTGAAACAAATAACAAATGTTTGTTTTATTTACAGATAAATATTACATTGTTGATGCCAAATATCCAAATACCAGAAGGTATCTTGCTCCATACAAATACGCAAATATTCATTATCACTTACCAGATTTTCAACGTGGATACACGACTACTATTCGTGAACCTCGCGGACCGATGCGTTTCACATTTGTATGGACTAGTTGGGAGGGGGTTGCACATGACACAAGATTTTTCAATGAAGCCTTACAGAGACTAGATCTTCATTTTCTATATCCAACTGGTGGTTTGTATAATTTTGTTTTTTGGAACACAAGTTTTATGTTTATACTACTTGTTTGAAACGAATAAGAAATATTTGTTTTATTTACCGATAAATATTATGTTGTTGATGCCAGATATCCAAATACCAGATGGTATCTTGCTCCATACAAAGGCGCAAATATTCGTTATCACTTACTATATTTTCGACGTGGACACACAGCTACTATTCGTGAACCTCGGGGACCGAAACAGAAATTTAACTATTTCCACTCATCATTGCGAAATATCATTGAACGAACTTTTGGAGTGTGGAAAGTTAGGTGAGAATTATTAAGAGACATGCATGTTAATTACAAGTACAAGAACCAATTGAGAATTGTGATAACATCGATGGCGATCTATAACTATATTAGAAAGATTGGTAGGTTTGATGAAGCATTTAATAGGGCACAACAAAAATCCTACAATCCCACATATGTGGTGGTACTAGTAGTGAAGTTTACAAAGAAGGTGCAAGTACGCATCGCACAAGTGATGATGATTCATATATGGCAACGATACGAGATATTATTGCACAATATATAATAAAATTGCGGGGATGAATGTAATATGACATTATCTATGATATTTTTTATGATTTATATACAGTTTGTATGAACGTAGTTTTAATATTATATGATCTAATAAAAATTAAAAATACTTTAAAAGAAATTTATATTTTATATTTTCTAATCAAATGTTTACAAAATTATAATATGTGTAAAATTTTTTTAAAATATAACATTGTTTATGTAAAATAGTAAATCATTATAAATATGTAAGCATATTTTTTTAGTAATTTTATATGTAAAAGTTAAGCTAAGCACTTTCTAAAAACAACTTTAGGTTTTTGTCATTCAAAAACTAATCCAAATACAACTTAAAAAACTCCTTTTATAAAAATGATTTTTAAAACTAAAAAGAAATCCAAACACCCTCGTTATTTGGGGTTCCACAGTCGCAAACAAGAGGTTATTGATTTTTGTTCACTGTTTTGAGTTTTAATTTTGGTTTAGTCATCTACGTACGGATAAGATTTTGATTTCAGTAATTGCTATGCTGCGGGTTTGATTTTGGGTCCCAATAGGCAATAGTGATGCTACTGCCAACTATTGGTGGGGGATGTTATCCGGTCTTTTTGCTGGCTTTTTCCTGATCGTCTCATCTCCTCTTTCTCCACGTCAGGTACAAGCTACTAAAACATGAGGTACAAGTCTCTTGGATTATCTTAATATTTTTTTACAAATCAAAGAATTTTCTAGACAAAATAAAAAGTAACGGGTTACGAGGTGATATAGCACGTTTTGGCCTGAACCTGAAAATGATGAAAACTAGGGCGTTATATATATATATATATATATATATATATATATATATATATATATATATATATATATATATATATATATATATATATATATATATATATATTTACTATTTTATAAAAGAAATTTAATTATTTCTAAAAATAGATTGATTATAATAATATTATTTTTTTAAAACGTCCAAATGATGAAGCTGATAGTACAAGTAACCATTAATAAAATAATATTAAATTTTAACCACATTTTGAATTCAAATATTTATCATCAAATCTCCTTATATTTCTCAACAATTTGATATGGTTCCCTCAAATCCCGGATTCATTCAAATTTTGAACCCTTTTAGATATCCTTAAATTTAGTATGTTGATTCAAATATCCCTCCAATCGCATATACCTCTTTGTTCCCTCCTCTGCTATAAAGCCCACCGTCCAGGAACAAAAAATGACTTCATCTCCCAAATAACACCATAGTTTGATTATTTTGTCTTCGACATGTACTTTCTTTTGTAAAATAACATTTTTGTAGAGAAAACATATCACCAAAAGAATTTACACGCCCCGCCGCTTTGCGCGGGTACACTGCTAGTATATATATATATATATATATATATATATATATATATATATATATATATATATATATATATATATATATATATATATATATATATATATATATATATATATATGAGGGAATGTGGTGGAATTAGAATCTAAATTTCTATGAAAATGGTGTTTGGATGACAAAATTAAGGGAAACATTACTGTGTAAAGAAAGATTTTCAACCATTTTAATAATAATAATAATAATAATAATTATTATTATTATTATTATTATTATTATTATTATTATAAAATTTACAAGTTATTTGAATTTTAGAAATGGTCAACTGTAAGATATTTCTTGAGCTTTTGTTTAATTGGAAATTTCTTGGAAATAATATAATTCATTCCATAAAGCGCTCAACCACATATATTTTATCCCAGCAAATCATCAATGGGAAAACAACTCACTTTATATTGAAAATATCATGTGTTAAGATTAAGATATTCTTGGATACTCTCATCTTTGTATATATACATCTTCTATCTCAACAAATCAATACATTGATGGCATCTTCCTCATCATCTTCTCCTTGTGCTCCGGCCTTTTCTTTCCGGTCATGGAAGTACCATGTTTTTCTTAGTTTTAGAGGAGAAGATACTCGCAATTCTTTTGTGGGTCATCTCTATTCAGCTCTTGAACAAAATGGGATATACACTTATAAGGATGATGAAACACTTACTCGGGGTGAATCAATCGGTCCATCGCTTATGAAGGCAATCGAAGAATCACAAATTGCCATCATTGTATTCTCTGAAAACTATGCAAACTCATCGTGGTGCTTAGATGAACTTGTGTATATTATGAACTGCAAGAATACAAGGGGCCAAATCGTTCTACCCATATTTTATGATGTGGATCCCTCTGAATTACGAAAGCAAAAAGGGAAGTATGCAGAAGCGTTTGCCAAACATGAGTTGGAGAACAAGACCAAGGTTGAATCTTGGAGAAAAACCCTTGTGGATGCAAGTAACATTGCTGGGTGGGAATCCAAGGACATTGCCAACAGGTTATTTTTTATTTTCTTCTTTGTTTTTGTGTCATATATATGCTTTGACATGTGTGTTCTCAAAGACATTTATACTTGTCCTTTATAGGCTTTTTATACAGACATTTCAGATATTTTTATGATGTTGATAAATAGAGGCTTTGATTAGATCACATAACAATTTTGGCAAGTTAAAAGATATCCCACATCCATGTGGCAAGAGTTAAGTAGGATTACAAAAAGAATTAATGTAACCTGGTTGTGATCTAGGATTATGGATAAGGTTTAATAAGTTATGATGGACTTCATTGACTTCTAATCTAATTATGTACTTAACGCCTCACTTCACGTTATGACAAATCCATATTGCTTTAGTTTTTATTTATCTATTTAAAGATATTGTATATTTCCCAAGAAAATTGTTTCAAAATTCAAACTACTTGTGATATTAGTTGTGCGTTTGAATGTAAATTATAAAGGGTATTTAGGAATCTTTTTCTTTAGTTCATATATAGAGCATGAAACAAATTACCTCCTTTGTGAGCATATGTTAATTATCCATGTATAATTACTAATGCGTAGGCATGAATCCAAGTTTATCAAAGAAATTGTCAACACAATTTTACCTATCTTGCATCCAGTAACTTCAAGTGTGAATGACAACCTGATTGGAATAGAGACTCGCATGCAGCGTTTGAAATCAGAGTTAAAAATCGGGTCAGGTGGTGTGAGTATGATTGGAATATGGGGGGTTGGAGGTGGTGGTAAGACTACTCTTGCATCTTCTATTTATAGTGAAATCTCCAGCAACTTTGATGGTTGCTGCTTTGTTGAAAATATTCGAGAGAAATCAAGTAAGTATGGTTTGGAAAATTTGCAAGAAAAAATTCTTTCTGGTGTTTTGAAGCAAAATAAAGTCAAGGTTGGGAGCATTGAGGAAGGAAAACGCATGATAGTGGATAGGTTATGCCGTAGAAAGGTCTTGATTGTTCTGGATGATGTTGATCACCTTGTCCAACTAAAAGCATTAGCTGGATCACATGATTGGTTTGGTGAAGGAAGCCGAATTATAATCACAACTAGAGATAAGCATTTATTAAACGTACATAGAGTAAATTTGATGCACAACATTAGGTTGTTAAATGATGATGAGGCTATTAAGCTCTTCTGCAAGCTTGCACCCCAGGATAACAGACCTAAGGAAGATTATGAACAGCTTTCAAAAGATGTTGTTTCTTATGCTGGGGGGCTCCCACTAGCACTTACAGTTCTTGGTCCTTTTCTGTCTGACAAAGACATGGATGAGTGGGTGAGTGCTTTAGCCAGACTGAAAGAGATCCCAAATGATGATATTGTGGGAAAGCTAAAAATCAGCTTTGATGGACTTACAAAGGTTGAGAAAGACTTGTTCCTTGATATTGCATGTTTTTTTAGGTGGGAGAAGAAAGATAGGGCAATGGAGATCCTTGATGCTTGTGGTTTTCATCCTGTTATAGGAGTGAAGGTGTTGGTACAAAAGGCTCTCATAACCATTTTGGATGGAAGGTTTGATATGCATGATCTGGTGCAAGAACTGGGACACCACATTGTTCGAGGGGAAGACCCTAACTATCCTGAGTTACATAGTAGAGTCTGGAAGAGGGAAGATGTTCTAACAATATGTGCTATGGATGCAACCACGGTAATCTCTAAGCTAGCTTTGCATGATTTATTATAAAGAAATACTTTTAAATCAATCCTGACACCATATTGTTCCTCCATCACAGGAAGTTGACATGATTGAAGCAATAAGATATGATTCTGGTACTATATATGGATTATCACATCTTCCTCCAGTTGTTGCAAACACGAAGAACCTTAGGTGGATTGATTGGCAAGGTGATCTTGCAAGTCCATTGCTTACTAAATTTCCACAAAGAAAGCTTTGTTGTCTAATATTGCACGACAGTTTGCAAAAACAACTTTGGGAGGGTTATAAGGTAATTCTTATGGTTTATCTCTAATTAACAGATGAAAACAAAGTTGATGATGAATTATAAACCTGACTAAACGACAGTAAATTCTAAGTAGTTATACAGAAATGAGTTATGGTCATCAAACAACTTCGGTTGTATCTTTTTATAACTTGCTATAGTATTGAGAGCATGGACCTTTATTGTATACATGTCCTTTGTGTTGAACTGTTGATAACAATAAACTTTTTAAATTATAAAGTGTTTTATATAATATTTACACATTAGTCATTGTAATCCTTGGGATTTATGTAACCTCTCACCCTCCATAACAAAAAAAATAAATAAATAAATAAATAAAATAAATCCTTTTGTCTTAACAAATACAAAAATTCAGTTCGTTTTGTTTTGTTTTTTCTTAAAATAGCTAGTATATATGATTATTTTGCTAAGCTTTGGTTTTTTGTTGATTGATAAGTATCATACAGCATTGATATCATAGATTTTGGTTCAAAACTCTTATATTATTTGTTTTTTGAATAGTTAATCAAACAATCAAACACTTAAAGTGATTTCCATATATGGATGGAAGGAATGAGTTTTGCTTCATTATTATCCCATATAGAAATAGTATGGAAGGAATTAGTGTGCCTATTCTAATTCAATTCTTATCACCTTGACACTTTTGACTTGTTGGCACTTGTATATTACAGAATCTGCCAACTTTAAAAATCATAGAACTTTATGGTTTGGATAACCTACTCATCACACCTGATTTTCGTGGACTTCCGAATCTTGAAAGATTCAAACTCATTGCATCTTCGCATTTAGAAGAGATTCATCCATCGATTGGACATTTGGAAAGGCTTGTTTTCTTATCTATAGAAACTTGTTCCAGACTTAAGAGGTTTCCACCCATTACCCGACTAAAGAAACTCAAGACCCTTTCATTCTCAGAGTGCCCTGGACTTTTTAAGCTCTCAGAGATCCAACAAGAGAAGATGGACAATTTACCACATCTTCATTTAGATAGTAGTGGTGTTACAGAAGTTCAGAAACCAGGAAAGGGCATTAATGTAAAATATTGGTTAGAGGGGTCTTCTTTACCTCGTAACAACATGAACCACATACGATTATGCTTTTTTCGCAGAGACTTAAGAACGTTGAATCTCAGCTTGTGCAATTTGGGAGATGAAGACATCGGCTCTTCTGTTTGGGAATTGCCCAACTTGCAAGAACTCGATCTTTCAGCAAATAGGTTTTCACGATTATGTTTTAGTCTCTTGAGACTTCCGAGGCTCAAATTTCTCAATGTGACAAACTGCCTAAGTCTTGCAGAATTGTCAGAGCTCCCATCAAGTATAGCTATTCTAATGGCGGATGAGTGTTGGTCACTTGAAAGATTTGGAGATATTTCAAAGTGTAAATGGTTGTGGAAACTCTCTCTTCATGCTGGGTACAAAGTAGGTCCACTTGGTGGTGACTTATTACTACACTCCATGCTCCAGGTTTGGCTCTACATACATTTTTAATTGCATTCTTTATATATAAATCGAAACATAAGTATGTGTTTTTCCATGGCAGGGAAATGCTATTGAAGATCATTGTATCAGTTTCACTCTTCAACATCAGAGTTCAAAGAGTTTTGTAGGTAGGCCTTTTAGGGGGAACACGTTTACACTGCCTCTTCCACATGATTGGTACAATGAGTACAGTGGGTTCTTAATACGGGTTCTTACAAATGACAAACTTCCGAATATTAATATAATCATCAAGCAGGAGGCGGCTGAAGATCCTCCATTTGAGCTTTGGCAGGGGTCCAGTGAAGCAGTGGACCCTGAGTATGATGATGGGATAACATTCGTAGGATATGTTTCCTTTAGTTCGTTGAGTCACACAACATCATTGAATTCAACATACAATATGATCTCATTCTCTATGGAAGATGTGAAATGGAGTTTCTTTGAATTTGAAAGTTATGTTGGAGTTGAGCTCGTTCCTAGAAAAAGTAAATATAAGCCGGTGCAAACAACCAAAGACACTAAAGATTGCTCAGAATTTTGGGATGAGTACGATGGTTATAGAAGGACATTTAAAATCCAACAACATTCAAAGTCGTCTATCGAGATTTTATGGCAACCTTAGGACTATAACATCTAACAAACCCATATACCCACAAATAACTATTTGCCAATTCATAGTTCCAAGTTGTCAACGTTTTCATTTGCATTATTGTATTAAATGATAGATGATTAGTGGTGGCCGTTATTTTTATGTTTTTGTTGTAAACAAAAGTCGTTGGAAATGGCATTTGCATCTGTTTTCCTCTCACTTTCCCCTGTAAATGCGCCAGGAATCAGTTGACTCAATGTCTTGGTAGGTCGTCGTGTAGGATTGTGGTTTTCTCTTTATTTCCTAATTTGACCATTACAATGTCTTTCCTGAATTCCCTTCTCCTTTTACTTTTGTGGTTTTCTGAACAAGGATCATACTACTTTTGTTTTCGTTCTGAGGCTTGGTAGTTCTTTGACTATCATTTGTATTTCATTTTAAATTAAATCCTTAAAATATTTGATATTCCAACGTAATTTATTCACTAATTGATTTCAAAGATATTTCATATATGTAGTTTTGCAATTATGAGATCACATGACGTAAGTTGATTTAAGGGATAATGACTTGAAAGGGTAACGAACTTTCGACTTTTGTCACATTTAGTCACTAAACTTTTTTTCGTTATCTATTTGTCATTGAACTATTGAAACTGTTCATATTTTACCCTTATGACCGGCTATTACCGGTCATAAGGGTAAAATGTGAACAGTTTCAATAGTTTAGTGGTAAATAGATAACGAAAAAAAGTTTAGTGACTAAATGTGAACAAAATCGAAAGTTCATTTCCCTCTAAAAAGTTTAATGACTAAATGTGAACAAACTTCCTATTGTATTATGTTTTAGCAAATTATTTATTTTTGTTTAATTGTAGCAACATTTGTTGATAAAGAAATCTATGAAATAAAAAAACAAAATGTAACATCCGGATTTCCAGGTATCATAATTTAAGTATTTTTCTTTTGAGTTAAGAAGAGAGACTCGACGAGTTGACGCCTCAAGTTGTCGAGTAAGGTCGCGACTGATGACTCGGATTAATGAATGGACTCGATGAGTCTGCGTTGTTGGCAGAAACCCTAAATCTTTGGGCCCGAGCCATATTTAAAGGCACTTATGGCCTTCAATTGCGACTACCTTTCCCATAAGTAAGAACCCTAGCGAGCTTGAGTGTGTAGAGTGAAAAGGTAGAGCTATCTTGAGATTTTTGGTGTGATAGATCTGGACCCTTCTAGGTCCAGAAAAGCCGAGAATATGAAGCTTTAGTAGAGTAAACCTTGGGGTTCGAAGTTAGGAAGCATTTATGGTATTTTTATGCTATATATAGTTATTTTCATCTTACACATATATATGAAGTATTTTATATGAATTACGTGCTATGTGTGCATATTATTTGAATACTTGCTGTCTATGTTCGATGAACGATTTTATACATGTTTTAAAAGATTTAAACGGTATATTTATTTTATATCTACAAATATGTTGCGGATGAAACATGGGTAGATGAAATAGTTGGTGTGTGATGAAATAAATGATGAGAGATAGGTGATGATAATTAGGTAAATAGATGATGATGAATATGTGATGTAGGATGAAAGGAGATACCATAACCTTAACCGACAATGTGGCGATGTAGTTATATACCAGAGTATAGATGGCGACCACAGACTATTCTAGACAACCCAGTGGAAACACCAGCAGGCCCATAACCTGTAGGTGATGAATTACGAGTTCAGGCGATGTTGTAACTACGTATTCATGTGATGATACTGTAACCCCTTACTATGAATTACAAGTTTAGACGATGTTGTAACTACATATTTATGGGATGTCTCAAATTCCGCATGCCAAACTAATGGTCATAATTCACATCAGTGAGAATGGTTTATTTTTTTGTAAAACCAAAATCAGATTGGAAATTTTGATTTTTTATTTTGGAAAATGTCAAACCATTGGTTTTTTATTTTGGTTTTGTTTTTTTTTTTTTTTTTAAATATATTTTCAGGGTTCTGTGTTTTTTTTTTTTTTTTCATAGATTTCTTCATCAACAAATGTTGCTACAATTTAACAAAAATAAATAATTTGCTAAAACATAATACAAGAGAAAGTTTATTCACATTTAGTCATTGAACTTTTAGAGGGAAACGAACTTTCGATTTTGTTCATATTTAGTCACTAAACTTTTTTTCGTTATCTATTTGTCATTGAACTATTGAAACTGTTCACATTTTACCCTTATGACCGGCAACAGCCGGTCATAAGGGTAAAATGTGAACAATTTCAATAGTTCAATGGCAAATAGATAACGAAAAAAAGTTTAGTGACTAAATGTGACAAAACTCGAAAGTTCGTTACCCTTTCAGGTCATTATCCCTTGATTTAAATACCTAAAGGTTTTTATTTGACTACGTTTATTACAAAACTTTATTTATATTTTCTAGGGTAAATTAATGAAAACGTCCCTTTTTTGGGGGGTCAAAATTTACGTGTATCGTTCCATTTTTCTGTGGGGTCATCCTATGGTATCTTTTGTTATTTTATTATGATATTAATCCTTATGATATGCGAAATGACTATTTTGAACTTTTTTTATTCTTTGTTTTATATTTTACATTAATATTTTCTTGTTACCATTTTCGATGAACTTTTATGAATATTTTCTATTAGTTGTTTTACATATTTTTTATATTTTCTTGTGCATTTTTCTATATATGTTTTGTTTGAGATTTTCTTTTGGGGGTCTTAATTTTGATTTTTATGGGTTTTGCTGGGAATTTTCCGAGATTATAGTTGTTCATCTCCATCTCTAGTGGGTGAGGGATGAAAGTGGGGGTGTCACTCAAGGGTGTTTCACTGGAGGTGGCAGGCGTTGACATGACCTAGTCGCTAGTCAACTAAGCATAGAGTTTTTTACAACCTTGATAAATACATAATAATATTATTTTGTGACATGGCGTTTAAACTATTTTAGAGTGAATTATAGATAGCGGTCCTAAGTTTCACAAAAGTGCGTACCTTCTAATCTAGGTTTCATTTTGGTGTAGTTTTGGTCCTTTTGATTGATTTTCGTTTAAATATTCGTTTGTGGGTAACACATGTTACTCACGTAGTCAAACCGTGAGTTTGTATATTCCTACAGAATTACATATGAACTCTATATAAAGAGTAGAATATTACACTTCAATACCCTTTACTTATTATAACTTTAAATTACATAGTCTAACATTCCCCCGCAAGTTGAGGGCAGGGAACGACCTGCAACTTGGACCGTAGGAGCTGAAATCTATGAGTAGATAAGGGCTTTGTGAAAACATTCGCGATCTGATCACCCATAGATATAAACTGAACTCGTAGTTGACCTCTTCCTACCTGCTCACGAACAAAGTGAAAATCTACCTTGACATGCTTAGTGCGAGCATGGAACACATGGTTGGCGGATAGATATGTAGCCCCTATATTGTCACACCAAAGAGTAAGAGGAGACGGAACCGATATGCCAAGTTCACGCAAGAATGCTTTCAACCAAATTAATTCTGCAACAGTGTCAGCAAGAGCTTTGTACTCAGATTCAGTTGAAGACCTTGAAATCGTCTTTTGTTTACGGGCAGACCAGGAGACAAGATTGGATCCTAATTATATGGCAAATCCCTCGATGGATCTACGGTCGACTGGGCTGCCAGCCCAATCAGAGTCAGAGTACCTGGACAGGTGAGGGAGTAGAATCTTGCCAAAGAGCATTTGTGAAGGACTGCAATTGTTTACCAGATTGATGATGAATCAAGAGACCAAGATCAGCTGTGCCTTTCAAATAACCTAGGCTACGCTTAACAGCAGACCAATGGTTTTATGTGGGAGCATGCATAAACTGACATACTCGATTCACAGCAAATGCAATATCTGGGCGGGATAAAGTAGCATATTACAAAGCGACAACTACTTGGTGATACATGGTTGGATCAGAAACTGAGAGGCTATCATCAATGGTCATGACATGAGAGGGACTCATTCGAGAACAAGCTGGTTTGCAGTCAGAGAGGCATGACCACTGAAGAATCTCGAGAATATACTTATGTTGAGACAACACAAGATTCTTCTTATCATGAACAACCTCAATGCCCAAGAAATAATGAAGTTGACCTACATCTTTAATGGAAAAAGTAGAACTGAGATGACTTATGATGTGGTCAATGGTTGACTGGTTGTTACCAGTGACAATAATATCGTCCACATAAACCAAAACATAAACAATAGTACCACCAGAGTTGAAGATGAAGAGCGAAGGATCGGTTTTGGATCCTGAAAAACCAAGTTCAGTTAGAGCGCTAGACAACCGGTTAAACTATGCTTGTGGAGCTTGCTTGATCCCGTAAAGAGACTTGTGGAGAAGACATACATGGTCTGGTTTGGTGGGGTCAACAAAGCCAGGAGGTTGTTTCATGCAAACAATTTCTTGGAAGTCACCATGTAAAAATATGTTTTTCACATCCAATTGTCGAAGAGCCTAATTGTTGGTTACGGCAAGAGAAAGAATGACCCGAATGGTGGTTGACTTCATCACAGGACTAAATGTTTCATGATAGTCAACACCCGGTTGTTGATTAAATCCTTTAGCTACTAGTCGTGCTTTGTAGAGAGTAACATTACCTTGTGGATCCTTCTTTAACCTATACACCCACTTACAATCAATGAGATTAGTATTTTTAACATAAGGAACTAAGGTCCATGTAGCATTCGTTTGAAGCGCTTGAAACTCCTCAGCCATGGCAAGACGCCACTCATGAGATTTGTTGGCAACAGTAAAGGAAGTGGGTTCAGTTTGGGAAGTAGAGGAGCGGGTGGAAGTATAAGCAGATGGATCGAATCGAAAGGTATGTGTGGGATTTTGTCAAAGATTAGGAGGCCGGGACCGAGGAAGAGGTGGGGCAGAGGGGATGGAGTAGAGGAAAAGGAGTGTGGATGAGTGTTTGTTGAGTTGGAGTGGGTAGTGTAAACGGGATCAAGATCAATAGTGGGAGGTGGTGTAGGAAAGATAGAGA